CTATTTCATAACTGTAAAAAATTTGTTTCTTTCCAATGACTTTCTTTCTAGAAGTTATGAACAACAACAACAAACTTTTTGTGCACTCCATCCCAGTCAGAAGTCATAGTTTAATATTTATTATAGTGGTGAACTCTGGTAGAGGTGACATTCAGCAGGGCTTCTTTCCCCCAATACCTCGGTTAACCCCTGCACAGAGAGTGATTAATCTTACCTGTTATTCTCCAGGCACGCTAAAGAGAAGAAGAGCCCAGAATCCTTCTGCACAGACGCAACCACAGCGCCCGCGCCAACAGAGAGAGAACTATCAGATGGGACAAATGCGACGCTGAGGCAGCTTCCTCATTGCCTTGGTTCTTCCTAGTGCCTACAGTGGGAAACACTTCACTCCAAAGAGTTACCTGAATCAGTCAACGAGTCCCATCTAGAAACTAAGAAACTGGCAAAATCAAATGGACTTCAGAAAAGCCTACACTTCAGAACACAACCGTTTTAAAGAGTAAGAAACCACTGCTCTGGGAGCCAGCAAAGCGTAGCTCAGAGAATAATACAGAAGCTAGATATGAGGAAGAGGATTTTCAGTCAATGATTTTTTTTTTTTTGTTCTATTTTCCCCTCCTGCTTTTCATTTTCTTTCTCAAGTGATTAAATCATTATTACTCTTCACTAAAGTTTTCCCCCTTTTATTTTGCTAGTTTTGTTTGTTTTTAAAACATTTTTAATGATTAGTATTTGGAATTACCACCCTCCTGTGGAGCTGAGCATGATGGGAAGTCAATAGTTTTTTCTGCCAATCACTGGCGGCCGAGAGAACTCATTTTCCAATGTGTAATTAAGATGTTTTTTAAAATGCAAGCAAAAAGGATTAAAAAGCTTTTTATTTCTGAAGCTTCCTCATGGTTTCTGCGTGCTGTTGTACAGAGATCAAATCAAATGACTACTTTTTTAGTCATGTCATCTTGTTTCTGTTGGATAATGATTAAGGATGTTTCATTGACACTCAGGATATAATAGAAAACAACAGCACAGAGAATTTCTAATGGTGGAAGGCCTTTTACCAGTTTCACTTTGCTGAAAGCAACATATGCATTTGTTCAGAGCATATTTACCTGCTTGATTTGCTTTCCTGTCTATTTTATTTTCATTTGATAACCACTAAAGAACTGCAGTTCTTCATTCCTTGTGAACGAGGGAGTTTAATGAAAGGATTAAACAATTTTGTTACTTTTCAAGGTGTCTTGATCTACTCCAAGTCACTCTTGCTTTCATTTGAAAAGACAAGCACAGCATCAAGAGAGATTTGCTTCATGCAATACATGCAAGGTTCTTGTTTTGCAATGATTCGCAGGAAACTGGAAAGTGTGGACAGTTACACAAATGAGTGGTGTGCGTAAATGAAGGGATGGGATAGAAAGCAGGATGACAGAAGCAATCTGTAGAACCTATATAGTGTTTTTACAGACCAATCGATATTTATACAAAGGATCTTTTCTTACTGTTTTTTTTTTCAGTAATTACATATATGTCTGAAAAAGGAAAAGATCCAGACTAGCAGCCTATATAATCAATGCATATGCCTTGCGTTGCCTGTGTAATGTATCTGAATTATTTCCTGCGCGTTCTCCAAATCCTTCCATTCTCATTAAATGTGAACTTTTAATTGTCTTTCGTGCGCGACTCTCTTGGAGAGGAAGTATTACGAATAATTTGTGCATCACACATGTCCTTTTCCAAGTTGCTTTTAACAGAACAGGAATGTTTTGTCTTGTCGTTGAATGAGAGTGTAGCAGAGTCCAATGTTTCTAAAGTCTGTCTTCTCAAACCTCCCTGCATCCTTTTAGGATGTGTGTTTATAATGTGGATGATTTGCTGTCTTGAAGATGAGCCATCAGATCCTCCTTTAGTATAAGTCATCACTTCATTTCTGTGTGTCTTTTTTTAAATGGTAATGGTTTCGGTGAGCTTGGCTTGACTGCTCTGAATGCAAAGGATGATCAGTCGTTTATGTGTTATTCTGTGATAAATGGGATTGAATGAGTTTGTAAGGGGATTTGGCTTAGAATTATTATTTCCTTTTTTTGTCATATACATTTTTGCTTGTCTTGCTTTGTTTATAAGTAATGTGCACTGATCACTAAGCATGGTGTGTGGATAGAAAATGAAAAACAAGATGGAGAAAATGTTTAATACTACTGTTTGATTTAAATGTCCGCTGTGTTTTATACAGTATCTTTCTTTCTCCTTTCTTTTGCTTTTTCATTTCTTTTTTGTTTATTTGTAGCTTATATCTCTTCTATTTGCGCTCACTTTTGAAAGTTTTTACTAAATACTTTGCAGAAAGTATTGTGCGACAACATGTAATTTTTTTGAAGAACTTGAAATGCATTAATAAAATAGCCTTGATCAAAAGCCCCTTTCCCTATCTGGTAATATACATCTATATCTGGAAATATTAAATCTCTCTGTGCTCTACAAAATGTGTTTTTAGATTTTGGTGCCATATTGTACAGTTCTCAGTATATACAAGTACACCCCTCACAAATCTCTCATTTAAGTTCATATTTTTAATAGGCAGCTATACAATATTATATTTGTGCATATACATTAGATTAGTCAGTACTGGAAATCTGGAGCTCATCTAAAAAAAATAACCTACGATAACAGTCCAAAAACTATTACAGCCAAATTTATAAGTTATAGAAGAATATTAATTACAAATTTTAAAAAGAAGAAAAATCAAGAGAAACTTGAGAAATTTTGTAGGTTTCTTTTTTTTTTCTTCAATATTTTGTTTGAATTTAATGGTATTATCTTTTAATTTCTAAATAAGTTTGGTGACTAAAATAGTATTTTAATAAATATATGTTTAATAAATCTGTTTTGTTTAAATGCATCAAAATACATTGCCTATATTCACTGAGAAATGTATACAAATATTCATTTTCAGAATGGGGTCTACTCTATTATGCTGAGCAGTGTAACTGAATATTTTAAGAGAAGAATAAATGAGGTTGTACATCAACAATAGAAGTTTCACATTTATCTAATATATTTTATTACTATTCTATGATGAAATTGTATGTGCAATGCTTGTATTTTGAGGATTTAAGACACATGAAATACAATATTTACCCTGAAGACATGCAGCATACAAATGCAGAGATGTTTGTTTGAATATATATATATATTTTTTTTTTAAATTATGTGCACTACCAAATGTAACTGTTTTACATTTTGTCAGTTCAGTGGTGAATTTGTACTGTTCAGTTGTACGAAAATTACGATTTTAAAAAGGAGACGTGGCACCCAGCACCATCCCTAAACCCAATTGTTATTGGAGGATAAGTTAATCATATGAATTGTACAAATGAACCACCAAGTCAAAAAGTTACAAATTGCTATGAGATCATGTTTGCACTACTGGTTATAAGACACGGATGGGCAGGTAGTCTATTAAAATTACTTAATGAAACCAAAAGGAGCTACCTGTTTTGAATGATCATTTATCTTTATCTTTTTATAACATTTTATATTATTTATCTTTAACCAGACTTTAGAGTCTTTAGAGTTTATTTCTCGTAGCTAACACATATAAAATATGTAAAGAATGTGGATACCAGAACCCATTGACTTACATTGTATATATATATATATAAAAAAAGCTGTTAGCAAATTGTCTTTTGCAGGATTTGGTGAGTTTGACAGCAAAATAATTAAAATACAGCAATTTGAAGCGTTCTATCGATAGTGGATGCATTGGAGGTTGCATTATTCTACGTAGCATGTGAAAAAAGTATCTCCAAATTAACTACTCATACAAGAGAAGGAAATAAATACTAGGATGACTTCTTTGAACTTCTGAATCTCACTTAAAGAAAAGAGAGGATTTGTAACTGGCAGTGAAGCTAAATAACTGAGATTACATGTTGACAATGATAGCATGCATTCATTCATGTACTAAACACATTAAGAGAAGAACTTAATAACAGAACGTGCACAAAAAGAATGCAATTTTGACCTAAAAGTGAAATCATGTCTGAATTGGCAATACTCACAGAAAATTGACTGTCCCATGAGGCCAAAGAGATGTAGGGTAAGGTAAGTAACTGCAGATATGGCGAATGTATATTTTAACTTCGAAATAAACAATCAACAGAATGGGGTAGAATGGTAATGGTTGCTAAAAAAAATTTAGTACTGTCTAAACTTTTTTTCATATACTTTAATTTTTTAGCTTTAAATAGGTATAGCTAGCATAGCACGTTTGATTATAGCTGACAATCAGAACCCCTTATAAAAAATTTGATAATAAATTTTAAAGAAGTTGGTTTGTAAAGGTCCAGTCTAGATTTTCAATAAACATTTTTTGGAAATGTTTTGTAGTCCCCTAAACGTGGATGTTACTTCTTTCACTGGTCTTTTTACAGCCAATTTAACCCCAGCCGGCACACGACCGACCTTCAACGTTGAAATATGGTTGAAAAAAGGTCAGATGTGTTTTGAACGTTGAAATAATGTTGATAGAACGTTTAATGTTGAACGGTTGAAAAACAGCCTGCATATGACAAGGCTTCAACGTTGAAATGTGGTTGAAAATACGTCAGTAGTTGCTTCATTAACCAACTTACATGTCGTCTTTTTAGAAATAAAAACAAAATAAATTCCAGCCTTCTGTTTTAGGCCCTTTTTTCTATTATTGGTGCAACTGTTCCCTGGTTAGCGGTCAATGACTTTGTTCAAGTTCAAATTCTACATATATCATCTTATGGGTGGGTATCCAATGTGGGTTTAATGTATTTTTACAGTCTATAATTAAAATTGTTTCCAAAAAAGAAACTAAAAAAACTCTGAAATTACTGATGCAAATCAAAAATACCCATAAGATACCCATCCTTTTTAGCCAATCAAAAAGTGTATTTACGTTCGAGGCGGTAATTTGAGTCGAAGTGGCGTGGTGTAGAAGTCATTATCGTCTTATTTTGCATGTTTAACAATCCTTATAAATTTGACCATTCTTTAATTTTTTAAACAATACAAAAGTAAAAACACGAAGCATATAGGCTATATTACAGGAAATTCAGCTGTCCCCCATCCAAAAAGACAAGTCCGACTGGATGTGAAAGTGTCTGAGGTGAGTGTGTTTTATCCCCCCCGGTTTCTGTTTTTCACAGCGCACGAACACTTTCTCCTGCAACATCTCGATGCTCAAGCCTTCGTCTGTCTGAGGACAAAACGTTGTTCTGCAGAGAAAAGACAATGTTAGGAGCTTCAGCCAAGGTACATTTGTTTCCTTCATTTCAGAAAGGCCCCTTTAAACAACTGATTGTATAGCAATGGCCACTAGAGGTCGCTAAAATGACTAAATATCACTCAATACTGCAAATGTTTAGAAAAATAACATTGTGTTTTCTATATCATTGCACTTTAAACCGTCAGACATCAAATTATCATGCATGCTAATGAAGTATTGCTTAAGTTAAAGCGATAGATCACCCAAAAAGAACAATTCTGTCATCATTTACTGTTTCAAACAAGTTTCTTTCTTGTTGAACACAAAATATGTATATATATATATATATATATATATTTTTTTTTTTTTTTTTTTTTTTTTTTTGTAGAAAATAATCATTTTTGTAATATTTTAATCCTTTACTTTTTTTTTCATATGTAAAGATGTTTGTGTACTGCTGTACGTCCTGTGTATATTAAGCAATGTGTAAGTGTTTGGACCCACAAAAGCGCCCTGTGCTGCATTTTAAAATTCAATATTTAATGCACAAAATAGACACGTCAGTTTATTTTTTTATTAAATAATATTTTAATATTAATCTGACCAGTTAAGGGTTAATATTCGGCAAAATTAACCGAGATGACATTTGTCCCTAATTCCATTTGTATTAAATTTTGTATATTAGAGTGATAGTGTATTAAAATGTACTCTTAAGTGATTCCAAACTTTTATGCAATTCTTTATTCTGTTGAACACATAAGGCGATGTTTTGTAGAATGTTGTTAACCAATAGCTACCGACATCCATGGGCCAAAATTCTTCAAAACACTTTTGTGTTCAGTAGAAAAAAACACTGTGGAGCAAGAGAAGAAGATGATATTTCTCATTTTTGGCTGAACTATCCCTTTGAGGCATTAAGAATAGATCATTAGACGATGAATCCAAGCTTTTCATCTTTAGTCAGCATCTATTTAAGCTCAGAATATCTGAGCATGCAATTGATCTCCTCTGAATCTGCAATGTTTCAACCTCCAACTGTTATTTGTCTCCTCTCTCACTTACTTCCTCTGGCTCTCTCCAGATTTCACGGTAATCTTCCCAAAAGTAAGCTGCGGTCCTTTGCTCTTTTTGCCCCAGGGTATGATGGTCTTAACTGTGTTCCACATGTTTGCCCACACTGGGTTTCCTTCCCACGTGAAGCGCATTATCATCAGGTCACCGATGTCTGTATCCAGAGTGATGAGCAACGTGAAGGTCTTGTTACCTGAAATCTCCTCGACACTGAAAAAGATGGGTGAGAAATTAAAAGCTATTTTAAATCATTTAATCTTTGGACATTCTATGGTAAATAAGCACAGGCATTAGCCTGTGTGAGCGTGATTGTGTACATGCTCTTATTCAAGATGCTATTTTAGGCCATCGCATGAGTCCCTGCCGTTTTCAGCTCTCCGTTTCATGTTCACAGCACACATGTACTGTATTTCATCCATTCGTGCGAGATGAGTTATTCCGATGAGTGCTCTCTGTGTGCTATGATGACTCTAAATTGAGCGCTTCCCCGTGAAGCGGAGCACGCTACTTTGAGCTTTTACAGCCCAGAACATGAAATATTAATGATCTTTTTCATCCCAGATGTTGTCATGCAGCCTTTCATTAAGGAATATTTGGCATTCTGTTAAATCAAGAGCTTCAGCTTCTGTCAAACTGGTTTAAGCTCTTATTCAAGTGACAACATTATCTATAAACTGTACTTGTAAAATTATTTATATAAAGATATATTCATGTATTTATCATACAATACCAAGAGACTCTTGTTCATATCCACTACCTGAAAGAAGTCTTATCGCCTATCCTGTTCCTAAGTTTTAGGAACAACAAATAATAACTTGACTTCTAGTTGATCATTTGGTATCAGAAGTGGCTTATATGAAAGGCAAAGGCCTCTAGATTACGCTTGTTTTACCAAAATAAAGTATGATCATGCCTTGATTTTTAATTATTTAATTAGGACAGGAAGGTCAGACTTTGCTGAGAAAAAGATTTAATATTGTGTTTGACTCCCATTAGCTTGGAGGACTGCATCCATACATCTCTGCAATGACTCAAATAAAACGCAAAGAAAGCGTTCTTGCAGGACTCCCAGAGTTCATCAAGATTCATCATCAATGCCTCCTCCGTCATCTTACACCAGACATGCTCAATAATGTTCATATCTGGTGACTGTGCTGGCCAATCCTGGAGCATCTTGACCTTCTTCGCTTTAGGCAACTTTGATGTGGAGGCTGAAGTATGAGGGAAGAATAGGTCCTCTGCAGTTTTTGTGATATTTAGGATGCAGTTCAACAGATGATTCATTTACATACTGCCACTTTTCCAAATGATCAACTTAAAATCAAGTTGCTCTTACAACTAGGACTGACGACAAGACTTTTGTCAGGTAGTGTACTATATACACAGAAGAACTGAAATATTATGACCACATGCCTAATATGCGATTATAAGCCATTTACTCTACAAGACCCCTTATTGGGAAATGCACTAGTTGGTCTCAAGAATGTTCTAGGGGAAATGTATTGCTTTTGCTCTTTAAGTACCCCTCCAAATTAATAAACAGAAAGATTCAGAAAGCATAATTTCTGTTGTAATTATTGAACAGACTGGACATTTGGAAGATTTTTTTATTGTCACCCATTGCTGCTCCATCTAATGGACGTGAATGATTTAATGGAATATTATGAAATGTAAATGAATGTAAACTAAATAAATGTGTTTTTTTCTCTCTGATAAAAACGTTTAAATGTCTTTAAACAAAAACCTTTGGCACCAAAATGTCAACATTTTTGATAATAGTGTTATAATGTTTTTTGACAGATTTATTTGATTTATTTTTAAATTAACAAACAAAACAAAAAGACGTTCATCATGAGACAATCAACAAAGCCTTTGCTTTAACTTATGGTGACTTGTCAGGAGAAGTTTTTGGTTGGAGGTTAAAGGGACAGTTCACCCTTAAATAACAATTACTCACTCTCATGTGGTTTTAAACTTTATTGAAATCTTTATTTCTTTCTTCTGTACAAAAAAAACAAAAAACAAAAGCAGCACTAAACCGGGATATTGTGAAGAATGTAGGGAAAGAAATCAGCCATTGGCATATGTTAGGAAACCACTATAAAAGTCAATGGCTGTTTTTCCCTCCAGCATTCTTCAGTATATCTTCATTTGTGTTCAACAGAAGAAAGAAACTCAAACAGGTCTGGAACCAATGGAGGATGAGTAAATGATGACAGAGTTTTTAACTATCCCTTTAAGATGTTAACAGCCTCTAAACCCAACAGAGAATATTTTCAAAACAAAACTGCTCTATGTTATACAAAAGATTGGAGAACCTTATCTAATCTACTCAGCACTTCATGTGTAGTCTTGTTAGGAGATGACTGTCATTCCCTTTACTTTTGACTTGTTTTAATGTTTTGGCTCGTCAGTGTATATAGTATTTTGGTTTGAGCAGATGGTACTCAATAGCAAACAGTACAGAAATGGCAGAAACACCTAGTGCATCCATATGGTGAGAAAGTCATTAAATAGCTCAATAAGGTGATGCTCACAACCAATTTACTAAGATGATTTTAAGATTCAGCTGCGTTTATATGGATGTTAATGGCACACTCACAGTGTTATGGGGAGATTTTCACTCTCTCCAAGTGTCCCGGTTAGAGAGACTGTGAGAGTGGGATCGATCTTATCAATCTGGTTGATGAACTGGATCCTGAACTGATAGTGGAACACTGGTGGGGAAGAAAAGTGATGGTAGATTAGCGCTAGTTTTATGTTCAAAGATAACTCCAAAACACAATTAATCAGACTTTAATCGCACAAAATTCAATTCTTAATTAATAAAATGTAAGTTAAATGACTAAACATCCATAAAACAAGAACAAATGTCTAAAAATGGCACAAGGTATTAACAGTAAGTGACTGCTTTACACACTTTGCTTGGGTGTCACAGCCGACTCTTACATTTGTATGGCATGTGTGAACGGGTTTTGAGAAACAGCCTCTTGCTTTTGCCAGTGCGCACTTTCTTGATGTCATAACCCAAAGTGTTGCAGCGATTCTTTCGGCAGTCCAGACAGTTGCCTTTATCGAAAGCGGTGTTGTCGCTGCACTTGTAGGCCATTATCTGCTTGTCTTTGTTCAACAGGGAGTCAATGAAGAGATGCACGGCGCGCTCATGGGCACACTTGACCGTCTGCTCGAATCCTAAAGTTAGAAGGACATTACCATTACTGAACAGAAACAGCAAACAATGACAGATTCTCTCTGACGTTTAGTTTATTCTCACTTGTTTGTGTGTTCTGCTATGTCTAGATTTGTGTTCAGTTAGCAGAGGTGCTAAAACGTGTGACGTTACAGTGTTGAGTTAGTAATAGCTCTGCACAGAGTGTCATTTCAGTTCACACTTTGCAATATTAGTTTATGGAAGAGTCATATTGAAAGATCTGCAATGTCAAATTGCATTGTCAAAAAACTTGAGATTTTGTAGATTTATTTTAAAGTTTTATCTAAGAGAGTTAAAGTGTACGTTTTCACTAGTATTTAACATTTCAAGCACACTTAATGTATAAAGATTCAACAAACTATATATATTTGCAGCTTTAACAATGATTAACTGGTATTTGATTTGTACAGTGAAGTCTGATTCAATTATTCATTCTTTTTTTTTCGGCTTAGTCCCTTTATTAATCTGGGGTCGCCACAGCGGAATGAACTCTAACTTATCCAGCATGTCTTACACAGCGGATGCCCTTCTAGCTGCAACCCATCACTGGGAAACATCTATACAAAACCATTCACACACATACTATGGACAATTTAGCTTGCCCAATTCAACTATACCGCATGTCTTTGCACTTGTGGGGGAAACCGGAGCACCCGGAGGAAACCCACGCGAACACAGGGAGAACATGCAAACTCTGCACAGAAATGCTAACTGACCCAGCCAAGGCTCGAACTAGTCACCTTCTTGCTGTGAAGCGATCGTGCTACCCACTGCGCCACCGCTATGCAACAGTAAAGTCTGCACAACGTTATTTTAAATTTAAATATTACATTTCTGTCCTTGAAAACTATTATGACTCCCTAGAAAAAGGGAAAAAACTAAGATAGTTGTTCTTGTATTTTAATTATGATATTTTATTAAATATTCTCCCCTATAAAATCCCATTAAACACAAAACAAAATTACATATCCATAATAACAAAGGCGATTACAGAAACATAAAAGGCCAAAATTCAACCCAAAAAACAATCCACTTAATATTGTGCCTTTAAATATTTCTTTAACTAAATTTTAAACCTCATTTTACTTGTTACAAAGCATGTAATGTCTTCTGGTAATTCATTCCATGTTTTCATTCCTCTTTACATTACAGTTCGTTGCTTTGCATTAATTTTTAAAACAGGAAACAAAAAAATTTCTTTTGATTCATGCCTGGTGTTAAAATTATGACTAGCATTCAAGCATTTAAATTCACAGTGCAATACACTTGACACAGACATATATCTTATGAAACGCGACAAAGAAACAATTACCCTATCTTGCAATGACCAACCTAAAGTTTTATACATTTATCATAATATTACCCTGCTATTGCAGTGTAAAATTGCACTTTGACCTGAGTTTAATTCCTGGCTGAAGGTCTTTTGCCGATCCTTCACATCTCTCTGCTCCCTATGATTTCCTGTCAATTCTCTATACTGTTCTATTTCTAAAAAATCACTTAATTATTCAAAAATAATTATCTGGTGAACTGTTTAAATTTAGAAAAATTAAATATTGTAATGTCCATTCCTTAATTTTTGTCTTTTAAAAATTAATTAAAACTTTATTATGCAAAGACAGAAATAAAATTATTAATAAAAATGCAATAAAGCTATTCCAAGTAGTTTTACATAAATTTTACTTTCTATTCAATAAAAAAATTATATATATATATATATATAGTAGCAGTGCCGAGTGCCTTAGTGCCCCCACCAGTGCCGATATACAGCCATATCACACTGCTGCGAGTGTGATATTGTGTTTATATAACAGTTTGACGGCATAATTTTGTATATAAAAACAAAATCAAACATGGAGAGTCTTAAAACCCGTTTTGTATGAGGAACTACTTTTTTCCAGATTCAAATCATAAGCTGACAGTTAAACAGTTGAGTGTGCATCTTTTAAACTTTTTGCTGGCTGTATGTGGGTGGAGTAATACACAAAGGGTAAAGAGGCTGTAGGAGTTCTGATATTGCAGAATATCGCACGGCTATCAGCCAATCAGATTTGAGAACCAGACAAAACTGTTGTGTATATATATATATATATATATATATATATATACATACATACATACATACATACATACATACATACATACATACATACATACATACATACATACATACATACATACATATATATATATATATATATATATATATATATATATATATATATATATATATATATATATATATACATATATACATACATACATACACATACATACATACATACATATATAACCGTTTACTGGGTTAGCATTTTTCTTTTAAATTTATTTCGAAAACCTAAAATCTGATTCTTGAGTCTTTTAAAGGAAGTGCATATAATTAACTGTGTCCAATTAGTTTTTTGGTAGTTACAGTTGCCTCACCCCTGTCCATTGTGGCACAGTGTGCCTGTCAGAGTCTTGCACTCATCAGCGTGGAGCTGTTAAAAATAAGAATTTTAAGGCCTGTCTTTCTGCTTCAGCTTTTCCCATAGGGGTGTTTAATTGCCTGTAGGCATATCTCAGTAGGAGAGCAGAACAGAAGAGGGATTTGGAATAATTAAGTTGTTAGGATGACAGCTGCTTTTATGTGTCTCTGCCTTTCATCTGGAAAGCTGTCTTCAGTGGTTAGCCATTCTCGCAGTGTCATTAATAGGATGTTTTGGATGTGTCTCATCCTAATCTGACATTTTAGGTATTCATCTGGGGATGAACCTGTGCCTTTCTCTCATTCATTCATCTGTCTGTTCAGCGGAGATACTCACCCATTATCCCGTGCTGAGCTAAATGTGCATAAATGTTCTGCATGTGCAGCTGGCATCCGGGTTGAAATGATCCTCCATTGGGGTAGAAATCAAAGTGGGCCACAGGCTGTTTGATGCCCACACTGAGTCCCATGCGCTGCAGGGTAAATGTATGGATGGCATCCACAAACTTAGCATCTTCCGGTGAGAGTCTGTCAGTATGAGACATTCCCTCAAACATCGGACCGGCAGGATCCAAACCTACAACAATAAGACAAACGTTACTTTTTTTCACCTCTGAGCAGGAATTATATAGTGTGTATTTGTCATGTTTAAGATGATTTACTGAAGATAACCATCTTAGAGTTGAAAGTATTTTTAACTTGTTATGTGAATGAAAGGGAATTAAGCATAAAATCTATTTAAAGTGTAATGCAGCTTTATATTAGACTTATAAATTAAATATGTTGATTATTTATTTGTCTTCATGTTTTTTTTTTCTTAAATTAGAATACTAAAAATACTATACCAAAACTCTTGTTAGGAAACACAAGAATCATTTTATTAAAGAGTGACAGTGCCGCTCCAAAATACTAGTTAATTAAACTTTTTATCCTCATACCTGACGACTATCCTTTAATCTAGGGTTCACTAGTACTGAGTTTTATTCTTTTGTCATCTGTCCATTTTTTTCATCTTTCAAATATACTAAATATTATATCACTTTTCCTTTTACACATTTCAACGACAGCTTGGATTTTTTAATAAAATGTGTAACATTGAATTGCAATAATTTATTTGTAACATTAAAGCAGACTTTGTTTTTATATACACAAAATATAATAAATCCCTTATGTAAATTTTATTCAATGTAGGTTGTTTAGAAAGATATTCACAAGACTGGCTTACCAGTAATTCTTCCCAGGGTTCTCCCAGACATAGCTAGGTTACTCCCAGCAAATCCAGATATATGAGCTCCAAGACTGTAGCCAATCAAATGAACTTTTCCCAGAGGAAATTGTTTGAAATCCTGTTTGGGATTCACACATACCATGGAAACACATTTTCAAGTACATTTGCCATTAGTACAGTGAGTCAGTAAAACTTAACCTAAACCTAATATTTGTCAAAAAGGATTTTTGCAAAAAGGCCCAAAATATTACCTTTAAAAAAAGTTAATAAATGTATAATGTGGCTGACCACTTTTAAAAAAATTAAGATTCTTTACACAGAAAGCACATGATGGTTCCACTAATAAACTATAAGATCCATTGGACCACAGTATTTTTGTTGTAGTTGAATTGGTTCCTTTGGCACCCTATAAAATTCTTTGTATATTTTAACCTCCTAGGGCTTAGTGGTTACATGCGAGGACACCACAATTTAGCTCTTAAGTGGTTATGTAAAATACTTTGAATGTTTTATATTTTGTTACAGACATACAGTGTCATCCTGCAACTGTTTTGCAGCATATGAATTGTCCCAAACCCTATTTTTAACTGTCCAAAATGGGGGGAAATTATTATTTTCACTCTCTAAAAGTCAAAACATGTAAAAAAAAAAAAAAAAAAGTCTGTTATATTTGCATTAAAAAACATTCAGGAAAATGTGTTTTATCTTAATTCGGACCACAAATCCAGATATATGGACATCATTTTTCTCTAAAAGTACATCATATCAAAAGATGATACTTAGGTTTTATTCTAATTAGGTTCCAATAAGCCCAAATAGCAAAGAGAAATAAAAAATGCGTGTAAAAAACACCTTGGGCCTTAAGAGGTTAAAGGGTTCTCTGGGGAATCATTATTTACAAAGTGACCTCTATGAAAATGATCAAAATATCAGACCTGGATCTCCCTAACTGTGCACACCTATGTTCATCAGCTAACCAGAAAATAACCATTCAACAGCCCTGTTGTGTATATTGTAATATTTGTCAGTAATACTGTTCGTTTGTAATCAATGAAAATTTGTTTAGATTAGATGCTTCTTTCAAAAACATTGAACAAAAGCTTATTGACCTCAAACCACTGGACAGCGGTACAGTACGTACACTCTACTACACAAAGATCCTACTCAAAGTCCTTCAGTTTCATATATAATATGTAGAGCAGGCACAATTGATTAAATTTGAAAATTAAGTGTCCAGTCATATTGTGTAGAGATTTGAATTCTCACCTCTAGCCAGCTCAGCAGGTGGGCAATGTCCTGTCCCACTATTCGTGTGTTCTGCGCTGCTATAGGATAGTGCTGGTGTGCCAGAGTCAGCCAATCTGCAATCAGCACATTGATGTTTCCCTCTGAGCTCTTCAGTGCTGATGCCAGCCGAGAAATCCATTTCTCCATCATTCCGTCTACCTGCGGGACAGGGGTGGAGGATTTGTCATTTCGTTTTTTGTTTTAGTGAGCCTTCTGCTGAATCACAGCTAAGGCACTTTTGTCAAATCAATTTTGCCTTTATCAGATGTGAAATAACTTTGCTTAGCTGTTTGCAGTCCGTGCCAAGGTCTCTGTGACCTTTTGTTCGTTTGAACCATTGATCTGTTTTTCTATTAGATCAATGAACTCAACATACCGACCAGCCATGAATGATGATAGCGAGAGGAAGGCTGCTGTTGAAGCCACAGGCGTCCAGTGTGTGAGGCTGGAAGAGCTCCAGTGCGCATGTATCCTCTATGTATTCTCCATCAGTGTAAACCCTGAAGACTGATTTAGGTTCATATCGCATCTTCATCTTGGCTTCAGGCTCAGTGTCTGTTTGAATGGTCATAATCAAATTGAAATTCTCTGACCTTCTCTGTCCAAATTAGACATTATGCTTGACAAAAAATAGCACTTAACTGTTGTTAACTGTTAATTTGTAATACATGTTTTTTCATTTATTTATGATTTCAGATTGCATTATGGGGCATAGATCTCTGTTCCAACAACTTTTGATTTTGAAAAAGCTTATCGGAGTCTCTTTTATTGGTATTGTAAGTTACCTGAAACAATGTTGTAAAAGAAATAGTATTCAGTTGAAGAAAAAATTATCTCTTCAGTAAATTTTTAATTATTTTTCAAATATTCTTTAAATATTTTACCCAAGTGCCGTTTAACGGAGAAAATGTTTTTTTCCACCATAATTGTTAAATATAGTTGTAATAATTTGTTTTAAATAACACATTTATTTTGTATTTGCATGACTAAGTTAGGTTAATTAGATAAGTCATTAGACAACAGTGCTTTGATCTGTAGCCATTTTTTTTCTTAACAAGGCTGTTATTATTGACTTTGGCAGATTTAAATTATTATGTTTTTCTTTTTAAAATTCCAAACAAACTAAAAGAAATTAGAAATTCACCACAAGAAAAAAAGTAATGGAAAATACTGTTGAAAAAAAAATCCCTGCTCAGTTAAATATCACATTTGTATGGTACTTTAGATGAACAACCCAAACAACAAAACAATATTTAATTTCAGACTTAAAATGTCAATAAACGTCACTTTCAGTTTCAACAGTTTTTGTATTGAATTGAGATTTTATTTGACAGATTTTAGACAAACTGTACAAAAACCCGAGTATCCCATACATTTTGTAATAAAACAATAGAGGATTAAAAACACAATAAAGCCCTGGGCTTGTTTTCATTGTGGTTCTCACTGATAAAAAACAAAGTATGGCTGCGAAATACAGTTAAAGCATAAAACAAACAGGAACAAAATTATTCACAATACAATAACATACAAAAAAAAAAACATTATCAATCACCATAGATACTACCATCATAAAACAACCATCTTTTGATTGCTTTTCTAACCCTCATTAAGTCTTTTATTTCCTTGATCGATTTTGGTAATTTGTTCCACATGATTGCACTTGTATATAAAAACATATTTTTCCCCAGTACACTTCTAAATTTAAATAAACAAGAAAAAAAAATCCCAACCCCTAGTACTGTAGAATGCTGTTTCCTCACAATTTGAAAATAGTTCACCAAATAACTTGGAAACTTATTATTAAACATTTTATTACAATTACTCCCAGAATTAAAAAAAACATTTGAAAACAGTTAGCATACCAATTTAGCATATATATATATATATATATATATATATATATATAAACTCTTTATGCAAATGTTTAGGATGAATTTTTTAAAGTTTTTGTACTAATTTATGTTGTGCCTTTTGCAATTTTTCCTTCATACTTTGTAAGCAGCTTCTATACCAAAATGAGGTAGCATAATCATAATGGGGTTGAATCAAAGCTCCTTCCAATAACTTTAAAGAATGAACATCCAACAGATCAGCTTGCCTTGCTAAGAGCCTATTTTTTCCCACATACCTTCGAAACATACAGTTGAAGTCAGAATTATTAGCCCCCCTGAAATACTGTATCAGCTCCCCTGTTTATACTGTGAAAATTTCCTTGCTCTGTCAAACATTATTTGGGAAATATTAAAAAAAAAGAAAAACAAATTCAAAGGCAGGCTAATAATTCTGACTTCAACTGTAGATTGAAGACCCATAATGCAATTCAGTATGAATCATGAACTATGGGCAAATACTAATCAACATATTTATTTAGAGTGTGTTTATTTCCCGTAGTAGAAGAACTTTGAGCTTGATTTTTTTTTTTTTAGCTTGAGTCAAGGCAAATAAATGTGTTTACATATGACTCTGTCTCTTGCTGATTAAATTAATTTGGAGAGTTGGATTGGACACATACAGAATTTCTCATAGAATTTCACACACACACACACACACACACACACACACACACACACACACACACACACACACACACACACATATATATAACCTCACATAAATTGCTATCATACAGTTTATCTTACATCTGATGCATGCTCTAACACCACATGCACCACAGCCTGTTTAGATAACAGTTTGACACGTTATTTTGATCTTTTATGTACAGTAAACATGTATTTTAAAGGGACATGTAGTTCTCTAACCAATTCTGCATTCATTGACTGAGAAATTGATTTCTCTGTCAGGTTATTAATTAGTTGTAAACATTCAATGAACAGGAAAATGGCTAACATTAATATTCAGCATTTTATGTGAGATTGGGACACTTTTAATTGGGACACTTTTTAACTTTTCACAGTCAATTTAGCATGTAATAACTGAAGCAGTTTTAGCATGTGAAAAATGTACATCTTTATCAATGCTACAGTGCAAATGTCAAGGTTTTGTCTTTTCCGCTTCAATTTGCAAACATGGCCTATAATTATTTTCTTGGGGTTTTATAGATATTACTACAAGCGTTGACCTTTTACATCAGAAGAAATTAAATCAGAAATAATATAATCAATGCTTAATTTTGCAAATATTTCTTAATATTTCAGCATAAGTATCACCTTCTGCTTATCTACAAATACAGGACTGTGTTTAAACGATGGCTAGAAATCCTGGTGTTTTTGTTATTTTCATTTATGGTTTGTTTTCTGCTAGCATAAGCTTCAATTCAAGCTTCATGTCACAGCATTACAGATTGCATGTTGAATTATGTCAGTGATGCGCGTGATTCACTTGTAAAAAGATCCTCTGAAAAGCATTTTAAAACTATAGTTCATCCAAATATTTAAACTACACTGTTGTTTATTCATCCACATGTTCATCCTACCCTGTTTGACTTTATCGCTTTAAATCCATGCAGTGAAAATCAGTATTGTGCAATTTAAATATAATAATAAAAACAAACAAACAAATAAATAAATAAATAAATAAATAAATAAATAAATAAATAAATAAATAAATAAATAAATAAATACATAAATACATAAATAAATAAATGCATTTATTTTGGCCAGAATAAAATAAGTTTTAGTCTTTTTAAAAACTATTTTAAGGTCAATATTATTAGCCCCCTTAAGCAATATTTCTTTTTGATTGCCTAAAGAACAAACCACTGTTATACAATAACTTGCCTAATTACACTAACCTGCCTAGTTAAACTAATTAACCTAGTTAAGCTTTTAAATTGCACTTTGAGCTGAATACTAGTGTGTTGAAAAAAAATCTAGTAAAATATAACTGTCATCATGGCAAAGATAAAAGAAATCATTTTTTAAAAATAAGTTATTTTAACTATTATGTTGAGAAATGTGTTTAAAAATTCTGTCTGTTTAACAGAAATTGGGGGAAATATAAAAGAACTAAAATACGACAGGAGGACTAATAATTGTAACTTCAACTGATTGTGCGTGTTATATTTTCCAAAAGTAAGAAAGCTATACTGGTCTGAAACAACTTTATGATTAATACATTATTGTATTATTTCAATTTTGGGGTTACTAGCCCTTTAAGACAAGTGTAATTGACCCTCACCTGCTCGATTTCCCTGAAACGTTGCTCCATCAGTGAGCTGTGAGATCATCAGAAAGCACGAGACTATTTTAATAAGAGTCTTCATGTTAAAGTCACATCTGAAGCCCCAAAAGATAAGCCCAATATTTCCTCTCACTCTTTTTCTTGGGTAAGAAAAGAGCACATAGAGCCAGGTGGTGGACAAGTTATTGAACTTGTCTGAGAGGAGGGGTCAGTAAATATTCAGATGGTCCAAATGAACACTTACTCACACTGTTTGCCAGCAGTTCACTCCTGGGTCAGCTTTGGCACACTAGTGAAGGCCTGATTGGCTCCACATTGTTACATAAGAGCCAGTGACACAATTGGTGAAAAAAAAAAGTGTTGTCAGATTTGGTATTAATGGAAATACTCGGACCATGCCACAAGTCATTTAAATCCACTTTTTCTCCACTCTTATACTGTAGTCATCATCACATGGTCTTGAAATATTTACAAAGCTTGTGCCCAAGTGATTGGCTTCAGTACTTGCATTAATTAGCAGTTGAACAGGTGCAGACAATAAAGTGTCCTGCCAGTATATATATAAAAGTATGTAGTAATATTGTGTCATGGTTTATTTTGGACACACACACACACACACACACACACACACAAACATCATTATTGAGTTGTGTATCCTCTTAAACCAAATAAACACGTAGACACACATACAGTGTTCAGCATAATTGAGTATTTTTTATCCATTTCTCAGTGAATATAGGCAATATATTTTGGTGCATTAAAGCAAAACTGATTTCTTATTAAAATAATAATTTAGTCAGTAAACAACAAAAGAAAGGTGATACAATTAAATTCGAGCAAAATGTTGCAAAAACAAATTACGACCTACAAAATGTCAACTAAATCTTTTACATTTTTTTGCTTCTCTTGATTCTTTCTCTTTATTCAATTTGTGTGTAATATTTTTCTATAACATAAATTTAGCTGTACTAGTTTTTGCACTGTTTTTGTAAGTTATTTTGGTAGATAAATTTCAGATTTGGCTTCAGTACTGACTAATCTAATTTATATGCACATATATAATATTGTATAGCTTCCTATTAAAATATGAATTTAAAAGAGAGATTTGTGAGGGGTGTACTTATTTATGCTAAGCACTGTATATACATAATAGTTTTAATAACTAATTTCTTTAGTTTTTGCCATGTTGACAAAACATTATATTTTAGTAGTTCATTTGCAGGATCTTTGCAATTTAAAGCTTTGATTAATTAGGTTATTAGGTTAATTAACTATAAGCAAGTAAAGTTAATTAGGAAAGTCATTAGACAGTGCGGCTCTAGTAATAATGACCTTTTTTTTAGTTATTAAAATAAACAAATTCCAGTCAAACTAAACTAAGAAAAAAGCTGAGAAATAAGACTTATATTCTAATGATCTAATACTATATAGAATATCAGAACATTTAAGTAAACATGACAGAGCTCATTGTTTATCCAGTAATTTTGTTACAATTTTGTTACATTTGTGCACGCATCTATGTATTTGTGTGTGTGTGTGTGTTTGTGCCCTTCTAACTAAATTGGGACAGCTTTAAACTGAAAAAAATGAAACCTAACATATCGTTCTTAAATTTTAAATAATTAATTTAGTTTATGTGGCAATGCGGTGGTGCAGTAGGTAGTGCTGTCGCCTCACAGCAAGAAGGTCGCTGGTTCGAGCCTCTGCTGGGTCAGTTGATGTTTCTGTGTGGAGATTGCATGTTCTCCCCATGTTCGCGTGCGTTTCCTCTGTTTTTCACAGTCCAAAGACAAGCGGTACAGGTGAATTGGGTAAGCTAAATTGTCTATAGTGTATGAGTGTGAATGAGTATGTTTGGATGTTTCCCAGAGATGGGTTGCAGCTGGAAGGGCATCTGCTGCATAAAAAACATGTGCTGGATAAGTTGGCGGTTCATTCCGCTGTGGCATTCCTTGATTAATAAAGATACTAAGCCGAAAAGAAAATGAATGAGTGAATTTAGTTTATGCTTACTGCTGTCTTTTCTACAGAAATGCTGGCTGGTGAACATGCTACAGACTGCTTAGCAGAAATAGAGGGTTTATGTATGCATAAACTCAGTGGACTCAGTGAGCTGACGTTGATGATCAGATAGTGATATGCTTAAACTGGGTCAGATACGTTTGTGAGATTAGAGCGGTTTATTTTAGCTCTCTTTTTACCCTTATTTTAAATATTTAACATCAAACTATTAGTTTAGCCACATGTTTTATGCTAAGACTAAACATACTAAGGTGAGTTAATGTTTTTTATATGCAAAGTAATTAACAATTTTAACATTTGTGCAGTATTGCAAAGATACATTTATTTAGATGATTTATTTAGATGTGTATGTCTTAATGCGGAAACTGACTGACTGTAAACTGACTGTGATGTAACATGATCTATCCATCAGTTGTATAACTAGTCAATTATAGAAAAGAACAGACATTTTTATTAATGTATAACACTATGTTTATTTAATTTCAGGTCTACATTAGCAAAATGACAATACAGCTTATGAATATAGCAAATAATCCCCAAATGTATCATTTATAAGACAGTAAGAAATCTGAAACAGAAATAACAGGATAAAAATACAATATATGTATATATAATTCAATATATAATATGATGTCTTTAAATTGTACAAACAACTCTATAAATTCATTTAAGTGTCAAGCAATAAATTATTAAAATACCTTTTTTTAAAAGAGAAATAAAAACAAAACATATCACAAAACTATTTTCCCACAAACAATAATTATGAAATACTTACTAAATCTTCAACTGATGCATTGAAAAGATGACATTTAATGAAAATTTGCTCATTCTCAGGCCATAATAATGTCATAAACAATTGCACAGAACAATCATTTTGCTTTAAAATGCCTCAATGTATCATTGGGAGCCACAGATATTCATTTAGTTTTCCTTTACATGCTTCTAATCTTAAGGTAAAGAAATAAGTCAGATGTCAGATGACCTGAGGATGAGTAAATTGACAGCAAATACATTTTTAATTAAGTAAAGCTTTAGGCTTTGCTGAGCCTGAAAAGTTAACACTTTTGAACAGTGGCATTATACGCAATACTGCAGCAATACTCTTTCTTCAACATTTGGATACACTGTAGCATAAATACTTGCAGATATTCTTCTTAAGCTTATATTTAATATCACAGATTATTTTTTGCATGCATTTTGACATTCATCCAGTTACCTCATGCAAGTTACTTTATCAGCCGTTATGCATGCATGCTTCCATTCTTGTTGAATGGTGCTTGCCACACCATTTACAGACAGCAAAGCATGTTCTATCAAGCAGAGTGGACCGTAAAGTACCTATTTCCTTTATTTCAGTGAGAGAAAAACAACTGCTTGTAGCAAGTTAAAGGGTTGTCAGATGAAAGTTAATTAAAGCACGCAATAGTTACAGTAGCAATAGAATTAGAAAAAGGATTGAAAGTCTTCGTAGGGTTTTATCCTAGTGGTAAATCCTGCAATGAATGTGTCTTAAGAAATCCTGAGAAACCACTGGAAAGTATGTGAAAATAATATATAGATATTATTGTAAATCATACATATTTTATAAAAGAATATGGAGGATCTGTTAGCACCTGTTTATCTATTACTGGCAGTGGTGTTGACAATTACTAAAGAATGCTTTCCATAGAATAAAGTAGTCAACATTTGAAGTGGATCATCATCTTCTCTCCATCAAAGTTGTCCTAAAACTATTGAACAACACCTGATCTAGTCCTAGGACTGTTCTGAAAAACATTTTTGATTCACTTCGAGTGTTGACTACTGTGTGATTGATTCTCATGTTGATGGATTAATCGGTGCTCTTTGAAACATTTCTACAGCTCTACTTCTGGTACAAATGTTAGAAAACTAGAACTATGGATGATTACCAATTACTGTCTTTCATAGCTGCTTGGTTTGTTGAATGTAGTTGGCAAAAGTGATGGAGGTAAAGACAGAGGAGGAAAGAGAGTGCAGAAATAACAGTGCTTTTGGTTTGAGGTTTATAGTAAAGGAAAAGATACCATACATTCTCTCACGGTCTAGTTGACGGTGTTCAGCTCATATTTGTCTTTAAGGCTGTTGTCGTCTTCCAGGTTCTTGTCGTTCTCAGGGTGATGCATCTCGATCATCAGGAAGTAGATAGCAGCACCAACCACTCCGCCCACCATTGGCCCCACCACTGGAACCCACCACCAGCCATTGCCAGCACTGAACACACACACAAGAATACACACTGGACTGGCAACAGATTCTAAAGGTAAGAACCGACAGTAAATATAAATGGAATTGGACAGTGTTTGAACTGGAAAGACATAAGGATGCATTTGACGAATTCACTACTGTCACACAAGAACTTCATGAAGCCATCATAACATTCAAATGGGTCAAAGTCACTTTTAAGTATTTCTCATTGGTTTAAACACACATACACAGTATAGTTCAGTTTCATATGCTCACCAAAGCTAAATCATTTAGTTGATGAAAAAATAAAGATTATAAATGACTCTAAATTACAACATTTTTATGGCAAAGTTTGTAAGAAATGTGACAATTCAACTTTACTCTGTTACTAGTCTTAAATGTTGCACGATCTTACGATATTTCATTCAGTGACATTCAGACTTGATATAACTGTCCAAATATTGCACTAAATGTCCAAATACTTTGGGCCATTGCATCTCAATTACTATATACTACTATATTACTAATTATTATATACTACACTATACTATACAGCAGAAGTGTCAAACTCTGTGTCAAGTGTGTGTACAGTTTAGTTTCAACCCTGTTTCAACACACTAAAGCTGCGGTCACACTGGACTTTTCTCCCCGTTCATACTCACGTGAAAACGTCAGACCGGAAATGCAAGCTTGTGCGACAAGTTTCGCAGTTCACTGCATTACAAAGTTTAAGCTTGTTAAACTCTGACCTGCAAAATTCTATCACTTGATTGCGTGAGACCAACCGAGAATCAAAACATGACCTCTCTGCAGGAATTTAAAATATGGACCAATCGCTCGCTTTTTTAAATGTCTAATTATTATCTTGTGGGCGAAATAGCCCACAAACGTGCAGTGGGTAGCACAATCACCTTACAGCAAGAAGGTCGCTGGTTCGAGCCTCAGCTGGGTCAGTTTGCGTTTCTGTATGGAGTTTGCATGTTCTCCTTGTGATCTTCTCCTTGTGGGTTTCCTCTGGGTGCTCCGTTTTTCCCCACAAGTCCAAAGACATGCTGTAAAGGTGAACTGGGTAAGCTGAAATTGTCCGAGGTTTATGAGAGTAAATGAGTTTGTGTGGGTGTTTCCCAGTGATGGGTTGCAGCTGGAATGGCATCCGCTGTGTAAAACATATGCAAAATAAGTTGGCGGTTCATTTCGCTGTGGCGACCCCAGATTAAAAAAAGAGACTAAGCCGAAAAGAAAATGAATGAATAATTATCTTGTTTACTGCCGCCCCTTTTGGCAGCGCCATACTACAGACTTTCGCATGCTCAAACTCCAGTGTGACCGCAGCTTTACCTGAAGGTTTCAAACAAGCCTGAAGGACTTAATTAGTTTGATCAGGTGTGTTTAATTAGGGTTGAAACTAAACTGAGAAGGAAGTTTGACACCTGTAATATACAGTAATCTAATCTGTATTAATGAATAAAAATATGAAATTTGTTTATTATTTATGATAAATATTTTTATTTTAATTGAACATAAGGTGAAATTACAATTGCATTTCTACATTTTTTTTTTATCTAACTCAGTTCTAAGTTGAATTATGACAATGAAACAATGTTTGGCTGTGTTGCTGAGTTTGTGTAAGTTTGTGTAAAATATGAACATATCAGATTTCTTAACCCATTGCTGAAACCGAAGTTCCCTTATCGTGATGTGCATGCAAGTGAAAGGGTTCGGTGGGGGGATTTGAATGCCAGTTTGCACTCAGTTGCAAATATATATCGCAGCTTGGAGAACTCCAAGTGGAAAGTACTAATGCCACAAGCTATCTGTTTTTTAATAAATTTGGGGTGTGGTGTATGTGTAGACGTTAATGAAACTAAATAGGTTGGACTCCACAACTTATACAAGACATTTAAAAAAAAAATCAAAAAGGATTGTAGAGTTCTATTGGAAATCTAGTCCCACCCATTCGGCACTGGCTCTGACCTTCATTTAAACCTCAAGAACTCCAGAAATATGCCACACCCTGATTGCCCTGCCCTAAAGACATTCCATGTGACCAGAAGTGAGGAAATAATTTTGAAGGGACAGTCAAGGTTATGGTATCTGAATAAAATTATGAGCGTAAATTAACTTTTACAAAATAATGCAGTACGAAACATCCTTTTTAACAATACTATATGCATACAAAATTTTTACATTTTGGTTTCAAGCCAACTTTGAAATTTGAATTTAAAACAACTTAGCATTTTTAAGAGTGTTGACATTGTCAGTTCAGTTTAGAACAGATTAAATTGGATGGTCTTGGACACAATATTACATTAAAAAATGATTAGGAACATGCCTTTACATTTTACATCCTTGAGTTTGAAGTGTTGTTTGGTTTTCAGAATAATGGACAAAGTCAACAGTGTTGTCCAGTCTTGCTGTACAGACACTAATGCATTCATTGTAATCTGTGCTTAGTGTGTCAGTCCGGTGCTCTCTGTCTGCAGGTCTCTCCCTCCCTCAATCCCTTGATCCTTTTATAGGCTAGTGAGACTAGTGCTTTGTGTCCTTCAACCTGCTCAGGTAAACAGGTAAACAAGCGCACTGAAATTGCATACAAATGCTTTTCTGAACTGAATTCAAGCGAGTATCATGCACATTACAGTGCTTATAATGCACACGCATGCTTGTTACACTGATGACATCAGAGACATTTGCCCTCAGGTCAGCCTTAATCTGGTCTCGAGCTGGAAGGCAGACAGAAATTAAGCAGACTGATCAAGCACTTCCCCATTTACTAGGCCACTGATATGTGATTAGCTCTTTCTGAATGTCATCCTTAGTGGGTAGATGTAAAGGGCTAAAAACTAAATAAACAATTATATTTCACAGCTGAATCGCCAACTGACCAATCAGAATTATATACCATTTACACTAGTACTTTTTTGTTTTAAAACAGTGTTTTATAATGAAAATACTTCTTTTCCAGACTGGCGGGTTTTTTTGTGTGTTTTTTATTTTTGCGTTTCAGAAAAACAATCTCGGCCCACAATATACAGCTTAAAATGCATAACATGTGATCATTCATGCTCAGTGGGTATGCACATGTTTTGTCTGCAAATTTTTGTCTGATAATGTATCTTTCTCTGTCTGCACTGAAACAGAATACCAATGGTTCCAAAGGAAAAGTAGGATATATAGCGATTTTTAAGCTTTCTTTTTTTGTTGGCCCACACTCCAGGACTTTTGGTTTCACTTAAAATATCTTGTATTGTAAATATTTTAATGTTTTATTAAAAACCAAAAACACCCAATGTCCTAATGTCATGGAAATTTACAGCAAATCTTACAGTTGCAGTGAAATGTGAACTTAAGTATGAGCAAAAACATGCTGGTTTTGTTTCTCTCTTTAAATGCAAATAAGTTGCCTTTCCCCTCCCACTATTCACAGGTGGGCGGTGCCTTTACAGCTCATATAATGAATACTGTTAGTTTTTGATTATCATGTCTACTGCCCCTCATTTTTGAATATACTAATAAGGACAGGAATTATATAAGCATGAACTTTTGTGAAGAATGAGATTTACTCCCTTCAAAATGGACTAGTAGCTCCCCTTTAAACATCCAGGAGAACCAATTAAAAATGAAATACATTACAGTGATATGACATTTTCGGGAGATATGCATGAATGAATTGAAGCCTTCAGGGTTTTAGAGCGATTTCTTTGTTTAAATTTGGAATTGCAAACATCCGTGTTCTATTCAATCCATCTCTTTTGCACAGGGTTGCCAATTATCTTATTCTGAACTTCATCAGCTTTTAGTCCGCATTTCAGTGTGCACATATTCAGATTTTTCTTTCTGTTGAGGCACAACAACAGAAACTCTCTTCAACCAACGACCTACATTGTGATAGCTAAGAGAAGAGTAAGAGTGAAATACCACAACTCCTCCCCCTTTAACAGGAAAAGTTAGAATGCACCCTGTCTTTGGTTTTGCTGCTCAATATTTATGTAAGGAGAATTCAGGGCGCCTCGTGTACATTTTTAAAATTGCTTCAATATGCAGGAGATACACAAGTGCATTAAAAAATTTATCTGCTCTGTCAGAAGAATGGCGATAGTCCTGTGCACTTAAAGTTTATATGGAGTTATAAAGCTACGTTGGTGAGTGTCATCCCTCTGTTTTGCACATGCTGGTTGGCTCTTAGCTTTATTGTACACACTCACACAAGCTAACTTCACTTTTACAACATCAGCAGTAATACAGATAAGAGGAGAATTAAATTGGAAAAAAACTATGTAGAATCAGCAAGACTTCTTGTACCTGAACACGGTTAATCCCCATCCTGCAATGGCAGTGAACAGCCGAGGTCCCAAGTCTCTGGCAGGGTTTATAGGATATCCACAGTTTAGTGCCATTGACACTCCAATAGCCAGGATGCTCAGACCGACAAGCAGAGGCTCCATTCCTTTAGGTGCTCCAATGTTCTTCTTATCTACAACAGCTAAAATACATAGGACCAGGGCACCTGCACCAATCACCTGTGCAGACAGAGACTACTGATCAGCAAAACCTTCTCTAATGGAGACCAAGCAATTAACATTGATTAGTACAGCTGTGGTGAAAATTTTGTTGGAAAAAATTGATTCTGTGTTTTTTTATTATTGTTATTATATTTAATTGATCACTTTCTTTCCTGAATGGATTCTGAGCTAACAGCCGTTCCACTCTAGGCTAGTTTTTAACAGCGGATTGTCCTCGAGAAGATGGTGCTCCAGACATTTTTTTTTTTTTTTCAGAAGATGGTTCTCTAGGCTGGTTTTTAACTGCAGATTGTGTTTTAGGCTGGTTTTCAAAAGAAATGGTGCTCTAGGCTGCTTTTTAAAAGAAGATGGTGCTCTATGCAGATTTTTACAAGGGATGGTGCTCTAGGCTGATTTTTAATAGAAGATGTTTCTCTAGACTGTTTGTTTAACAGGAGGATACTCTAGGCTAGGTTTTTATCAGAAGATGGTGCTCTAGACTAGTTTTTAACAGCAGGTTGTCCTCTAGACTAGATTGGAACACAAGATGGTGCTCTAGGCTGGTTTTCAACAGAAAATGGTTCTCTAGACTTTTTTTTAACAGGAGAAGGTGCTCTAGGCTGGTTTGTAAGAGAAGATTGTGCTCTAGGCTGTTTTAACAGAAGATTGTGTTTTAGACTGGTTTTCAACAGAAGATGGTTCTCTAGACTGTTTTTTAACAGAAGATGGTGCTCTTGGCTGGTTTTCAACAGAAGATGGTTCTCTAGACTGTTTTTTAACAGAAGATGGTGCTCTAGGCTGGTTTTCAACAGAAGATGGTTCTCTAGACTGTTTTTTTTAACAGAAGATGGTGCTCTAGGCTGGTTTTAAACAGAAAATGGTTCTCTAGACTGTTTTTTAACAGAAGAAGGTGCTCTAGGCTGGTTTGTAAGAGAAGATGGTGCTCTAGGCTGTTTTTAACAGAAGATTGTGTTTTAGACTGGTTTTCAAAAGAAGATGGTGCTCTAGACTGTTTTTTTTTAACAGCAGAAGATGGTCTATACTGTTTTTTTAACAACAGATGGTGTTCTAGGCTGGTTTTTAACAGCAGATGGTGCTCTAGGCTTTGATTTTAAAGGGGTGGTCCACTACAATATCATATTATAAGCTTTAGTTGATGTGTAATGTAGCTGTGTGAACATAAACAACATCTCGGAATGTTAGATGCTCAAAGTTCAATGCAAAGGGAGACATTGGCTTTTGCAGAGTTAGCTTAGAGAAGCCTACAGCAAACAAAGTTTGGGGAGTACAAACAATATATATATATGAAGGTAATGATGTCATAAACCCTTCAGGTTGCACACATACACCCCATGTAGTGAAGGGGCGTGGCCAGAGGCGCTGTAATGTTATAACAGAGACAGTTCTTGGTGATGTGGAGCTGATCTGTGAATCACAGAACATTATGTTAGCTGACCAATCGGAGCTTCTTGAAGGTGGGTCTTCAGAGGAACTAGGAAATATGACAGTCGTTTTGATGTTAGCTGAGTCGCTGTTTATAATCAAAGTAGGATTTATGAAAAAATAATACACATTTCTACAAATTACGCTTAAGCACATATTGCTTTGCACAACATACACAAAATCAAGCCTTAAAAATATACTCTGGACCACCCCTTTAACTGTACACACGAATGGCAACAGTAAATAGTATAATATTAGCATACAAGGATTCAGAGTATGCATTTAAACACTGGTTTAATTTTACTGTACAGTAAAATAGCAATGAATTAATGTGTTTCACTCACCTGATCAATGAATCCATTTAACAATGAGAGTCCTTCACGTGGATATGATGCAAAGATACCTGCTGTGGCATTTGGGCCAGTTACAGCTAGCTCTCCATTAGCAAATTCTGTAAAGGCATCTTTGGACAAGAGAATATTTTTTAGGCCTGTAATGCTTAAAGATGTTGCAAGTGATGTAAAATCCAACCGCTTTTCAAATAGTTAAGTTTTAAAGATTAATTTGTAGGTAGTAATTTGCTGACTGTTCAGAGTAATTGTAAAATAATCATATTGCAATTTACAGCAATAAGCTTTACAGCTTTCAGTTCAAAAAAAGCTTTCAGTTCCGAGTTACTTCTCTAAGCTAGTGTTAAATTTAAGGTCTATCTAAATCTATCAACAATAACAACAAGCCAAGCCATTTTTGTGGTTTACGTGTGTCTAAAAATGTTCTTGGGTATATGCTTTTTTTAGCCTGCTTTTGGAGAGGAGCCCATAACAGAAGCAATAATATAGAAGTGCCCTATAAACTTACCATAGTAAAGACAGTAGACGGCACAAGACCCAAAAAAGGCACCTAGAAATTGGGCCAACACATACACAGGGAATTTCTTTAGTGGGAGTTTCCTCAGGACAACCATAGCCAAAGAAACAGCAGGGTTCACATGTCCTCCTGCAAAGAGATGCCACAGCTGAGGGTTAGATTTCACAAAAAAGAAAATGATGCATTGGGTACTCATTTAATTGCCATTTACACTGTCGTTTTTAAAGGATTAGTTTGTCCAAAAATTAAAATGGTATCATTATTTAGACCGAGACCTTTGTTCATCTTCAGAACACAACTTAAGACATTTTAGGCAGTGGTGAAAAGAGTACTGATAAATCATACTCATGTAAAAGTACCATTACTTGCCCAAAAATGTAGTGCAAGTAGATTAAAAGTATCTGTTGTGAATATGACTCAAAGTAGACCTTTTAAAAGTACCCAAGAGTAGCAAGTATGGAGTATCATTATGTGATCAGCTCATGCGTTTACATGCAATTTGTGTATGGATGTGTAAACGTAACATTCTGTAGTGCATTCTTAATTGTTTAAGGGCATTTGGTGATATCAGTCATCATACAGTAAACATCCATCTGCTCATCAGTGACATGCAGTCTGTAAGTCTCTCGATGATTGCGTGTAAAGATTTTGGACATATTCTTCACACTTTTAATGTTTCCAAACGATTTGTTGGATTTATGAAGTGCTGAGGTCGTGTCCTGATGAGGTTGTTCAGTAGGATGGAATTTTCTTTTCTATGTGAGTTTTGATTGGACAGGATTTACAGAACTGCTTAATCTACTTTAGCCAATCCCAAGAAACAAGAAAAATAAAGTAGTGACTGCAGGTTGAAGAAACATAGTGGAGTAAAAGTACCAATACCGCACTTAAAACATACTCAAGGGAAAGTAAAAGTACACATTTTTAAAACAACTTAGTAAATTACAATTCCCGATAAAAACTACTCACTTACAGTAATTGGAGTACCTGGAGAATAATTTGTTACTTTACACCACTGATTTAGGTGAAATCTGAGCACTCTTCCATAGACAACAATGATCATAAAACAATCAAAGTAAAAAATAAAATAAAACACAGTTGTTTAATCATGCAAATCTCCAAGAACACTTTTGTGTGCCAAAAAGGAATTTTTTTTCCAGAAATTAATGTCATTGGTCTATGCACTCTCTTCGGCTGTTTCAGGTCCTGGTGCACATTTGGGCAATATGATGCTTGTAGTAAAGCAAAGTAAACATGCACCCTGATGACCTGACAAAAAAACTGGCTGGAAGGAAAAAAAACCCAGAGTGACAGGAAAACATACATGTTCATGTTTTTGCTTTCCCTCGCAAAACTATTTTTCCACAAATGCATCTTATTCACTACATACATGTCAACCCTCCCGCTTTTGCTGGGATTCTCCTGTATTTTACCATTCTATCCCACGATCATCCTAACTTTAAGTATTTTCCCATATTTCGGATTTATTTTTAATCATAAAAGCATGCTAAAATTAATATTAAAATGTCTGCATTCACTTTAAATCTGTGCATCAATCCTCGCCCTTATATATGCAACCTCTGAATTAAATTGGGATTCGGGTGTGTATTTAAACCATAGACTGTAAAAGATATGGACGTAGTATCTGTAACGTCACCTATAGGTTTCTGAAGAACCCAAAAGAAGCTACCAATAGGCTTGGCCAACCGTTGCCTTTTCTGGAGTGCATTACAGGTCTAAATAAACTTACAAATGATAAATGATCTTAAATAAAACAAATACTTTTATAGAGATGGTATTTAAGTATATAATTTTACTCAACTGGGAAATGGAGGCCATGTGAATGGTTTGTGAGCACAATTACGTGCACACAGCATGCCATATCATCTCATAATTGTAGGAAATAATTCCAAAAGGCAATTAAATGTAAAGCCACATAAAACAACACAAAAATACAATGTTTATGCCGAGCACATACGAAACGGATGAGTTATAAAAACAAAAATTCACCCCCTTAGAGTTGTCATGGAGGGTAATATTAGCTATATGGACCAAAATCGTTCTTTGTACCTGGCTGTATACACCTTTTTTTTCTGCTATAAAGTTGGCCATTTTAAAAGTGGGGTCAATAGAAATTTGCTCTATTATGGAGCCACGCCTAGCAGAATTTCAATGAATTGCAGTTTTAGTTACTTCTGTATTTGCTTTAAACAGACAAACATACTTAATAATATGTAAACATGTCCGTTCTGCTTGTTTTTATTTTAAACACAGGTAATTTTGTCTCAAATGAGCACAAACAGCTACTAAAGTAGATTCATTTGCTGCTCTTCACTTGTTTGATAACAGGTGTCATATTAAATGGCTTGTACAGAAGCTGATCTGGGATCAGTTCATCATACAGAGTGCGTCCGTCAGTCAGTTACATGCATTCACTGTTTCAGAGGTTGCATATGAAGGGCGATGATTGACACACCGCTTTAATGGACAGAAAGTGAATGCAGACATTTTTATATTAATTTCCGCCTGCTTTCGAGATTAAAAATATATTAGAAATATGGGAAAATATATATTGATAGGACGATAGTGAGATAGAATGGTAAAATACGGCAAAATCTTGTCAAAAACAGCAGCGTTGACATGTATAAAGTGAACAAGAAGTGTTTGTGGAAAAACAGAAAACGCAAAACATCTTTGCAATCTATCGCAAAACATCTTTGCGAAAAAGGATGTTTTCTTATCACTCAGTTTTTTGTTCTCCCACCCATTTTTTTTCTTCTTCAACCTACTTTTTTCCCCACCATCACGTCCCTTCCCGGTCTTCGTACTGAAATCACATGGAACTGTTTTGACAGTTTTTTTTACTTTGACATCTTTGATATTTGTTGTGTGTGAACACCCCCTGAGAGATGACAAACTTCAGATGATGGCAAAGTATCTGCACCGGATTTAGCAGTCCACTTTTTATGGTGATTTTGTATTGATTGAGGTTTGCATAAAAGCATATTGAGGTTTTAGTACAAATTATTATTTAATAAGATCAAACCAGTGTATTCCGCCATTTATCTCGTACTGATGCGCTTTGTCTTTTTGCTGTGTAGGTATATCAAGTACTCTCACTTTCTCTTGGTTAATCCAAACAATGTCCTCTTAAACGGCCTCGTAAACACCGTCTACAGAAACGAGTGGAAGAAGTCAATGGGAATTGGGTCTGACATAATCTGGCTAAGTCTTCTGACATCACCACGGGGCTTAGGAGTAACACTGCTTTGACATAAGAGTGCTCAGGGCTGCGGTACTATCTCTGACCCCATCATACACACCGCTTCAACTCTAATGCCAGCAGAACAGAGCGGAAAACACTGGCCTTCTCTAACCCACGTAAACCTGGACTGTCCTCTCAGCTGAAAACAGGAAATCAGGACCTATTTAATATCTTTTTTAAATTGATAGTCATTAAGCATGAACCTAGTTTTACCTAGTTACTGGATTGAGGAGAACATAATTAGCATCATAATAATGTCGCATATTACATAAATAAAACTGGTTGGTTGAAGGTACATTTTCATTAACTAGTCTTATAACCAATCTTTTTCACTTACAAGTTTTTGTTTACACTGAAATATTTTTCCGATTGAGTACTCTTGTAGAATTTTAGGCTTCATAATAATGGGCCAGTGCCTAGAGCTGATTGCACCTGGGACGTGTGCTCCAGAAAAGCTCATTAGTTCAATACTGTAGTCATCATCACAGCACGTAAGATTATCACAGTCATGTGGGCTGCTGGGCTAACCAACTTATTCATGCACAAATGCCCACTTTTGATGACTTTAACTGCAGATGGCTGGCTATATTTAACATTATACATATGTTTATACTGTATATGGCTCTGCCTGCCCTTGTGTTGTATTGTAAGAGGAGAAAATGCTGGCAGCATATGGTGAGGAATATAGTGCAAGCTCGTGACTTATTACCCTTGATAATTCAGTTGCAGCATTGAACACACATTTTTATACCGTACCACAACACTGTTACTGCATCATTTTTAGAAACTACTTCTAGGGCAATCTTAATGCAATCTTATAAATTTTCAAATGTTTTTCTTATTATTTTAAATAACAGTTAACACATTTATATTTGTTATTATCCTTGTTGCAAACTTTTACGTCTTTCACTGCAATAAATATCATGTAAAACAATGAAATGCAAGTATGAATAAAAGAGCGAAGCATAATGCTAATAATAATGTTATTAAAGGGGTGGTCCAGAGTGTATTTTTAAAAAGTGGTTGTGTTTATGGGGTGCAAAGCAATGTGTGCTCATGCTTCATTTGTAAAACATCACATGGTTTTTTTCATATATCTTATGTCAATTATGTACAACTACTCAGCTAACATGAAAACAACTACCATATTTCCTAGTTCCTTCAAAGATCCGCCCTCAAGAGGCTCTGATTGGTCTGCTAACATTATGTGCTGTGTTTCGTGAATTGGCTCCACGTCACCAGGGTGCTCTCTAAAATAAAGTCTGACAAGTTTCTTTTACATATATTTGGAATAAGCATGTGTAAGTAATATAAAACGTTCTCATATCTTATGTTTGTTATTTGAGATGTAGAACGTAGGGAAAGCAGCTGTGTATAGAGACACTGCGGCGCTGGTAAAGATTGTGGGTGTTTACAGCGGTTTGACGTTTTGTCAAGGGAATTTGTAGCTAAAGTGTTAATGGTGTCAAACAGCATTTCCCATTGTTTACATCCTTGTTTACGTCGTTCCTACAATATACCATTAACACTAGAAACTGTGCATGTGAGTTAATAGGTCAATTTTAACAAATAAAAATACTTACAGGTTAAGGCTTACAATCCACATCTTCTTCTATTATGGTTGGAGCTGCTTCTTCTTTAAGGACTTTCTGACAGAATCCAGCACTGAAGCTCTGCTTTATCAAATTCTAGCTATATACTTTTTGAATTCTCTGGAACATAATTAATATTAAATTGTAAGCACTTCTCTCTTTGTGTCGTGTCCTTTGGAAGTCCAAATACAGAAACAGAACAAGCTGTTCGGGTTAATAATAAAACGGTTTAATATATACCACTCTCATTTTCTGATCATACAGTTAACAAAAAGACATTATTTGAAACGGAATATTTATCATTTATTTGATTTAGATTGTAATTGTATTTAACAAACCCGTTTGTGTTTTGGCTGCAGAAGTATAGTGGACCTTGACACACTTCATCTCAAATGTTATTTTTTCTATTTGTTTATTTTTGTAGATAACTGACCGACAAAAATATATTAAGATTAAAATACTAATTATACCAAACAAAATTCATTCCAAATTTTTCAACAAAAACATATTAACCGTATATTTTTGTTTGTGCCCTACCTTACAACTGTGCAGTGCTGATTTGTTTTGATCCATGGAAGTTTTAGCAAATTAATACTCTGCTGTAATTTTTGTATCACAAACCTCTGTCATAAATTGGCTACATTTTTAATAAAATGATTTATACAAAATTATTGTTTGCTATAGACTATGCTTTAAGTCAACATGTATGCGCCTTGTCGATGTCTCTCTTCACCGCTGCCACAGCATGCTCTAGTAAAGAACAGACCTACATATGACCAGCCTTTAAGCAAAGCCTATATTGATTTACTGTTCTGTGGCAGTTTAACACAGGCTTTAACTGAGGACAGTGAGCTAATTCTAAACACTCTGTCACCTAAGCTCACCATGAGTGAGACAGAGAAAATGAACGGTAAAATCAGATTCTCAGGTTATTTTTAAAATAATGACCTTATATTAAAAATGCTGATAGAGGTTTGTGATATAGGAATTACACCAGAGCATTAAAAATGAGATGTTTAAATCATTTTAAATCATCAGTGTTATAGACCTGCTATATTTATTTGATGGATAAAAAACTAGGTATAATAGGTAAAAAAAAACATTTGTACTTTAAGTGAAAAATTCTTAGTGCAGGCCTTTTATTCCTATTAAATTTATTCTGTTTTTTTTTTTTTTTACAACCATGAAAGTTTCACACGCAAAAATAAGTAATAAACTCAAAAAGGACGGTGATGACTGTAATAACCACATCACCTCACGACGGTGATGTGGTTATCGCCACACCCTTATCTATTACAGTTTCAGTTTAACACAGTTTCTGTGAGAAATTAAGTGTGTTTTCACTACTTAGTTGCTGTATGCAGTAACACTCGAGACAGCTTATGAAGTCAGTTAGACATCTTGTAGACATAGAGCTCTTTTCCTAATGCACTCAGGTTCAGTATATTTAAATGCCAGAAAGTAAAAGATTAAGTCACATGTCTAGTCTGTTATCTCTTAAATTTGCAGAGAAACAACTGGTTACATCCCAAGATCTCTCTTTGTACTTTCAATAAAGGAATGTGCAACAAAAAAAACACCAGACTTGTTTTCTTGACTAGACTAAAGCTACTACTCGTTGTGAAAATGAGATTACCTGGAGTCCATTCAGCTCAGAGCGGTGAGGTTAGTCTAAGTGGATCAGTGTGTAGTTAGTTATTGTCAGTAATCTTCTGCCACTTTGTCATCTCTTTGACTTTGTAAACGTGCTCTTGTTTACTGTTTTCTTGCTGCATTTACTGCCATAGCTTGAAGCGATTAAATGGAAATTCTCCATTATTATAACACATTACAATAAAAGCTTCACCTCAACATAATCCTTGAGGAATTGTCTTAATGAAGGCCAGACATACATGTCCGTTCTGGTATATCAAACACAAGACGCCTCCGCTTGACATCAAGCCTTATGCAAGATTTAAGAGCATGGAATTCACCCATCCTTACACTATTTTCATAAAAGATTTATACTATTTTTGGCCCAAAACTGTTGAGAATTCAAGAATTTTAAACACAATAAGCAACACGCTCCCTCTATTATATTTTCATTAATCTTTGAAAGATTTTCAGAAAAAATAAGTTTGTTATGGTCTACAGCAAATCCACCCTTCACTCTCTACTTGGTGTCAAAGTTGAAGTGCTCAGTATGGGGTATATACTTGATTCACTTGACTTATTAATAGAGAAAAGGCTTTTTCTTCCTTACTAGCCATTTTAGTCCTTCAACCAGGGTTAGTTTTTAATAGATGAAACACACACAAATAAAGCAATAAAATAATATATTGCTTTCCAGTTTGAATGATACTTTAAAATCAAGCATTTTTATTTTTATTTTTTATCTGGAGTGACTTTAAAGAAATTATAGGTTAACACTTTACTTTGAAGGGGACAAATTAATTTTGTTCCTCTAAAAATGGTAATCAAAAACATTTTCATTAGCCATTTATAATGGGCTTATGTAAATCATGTTTATGACAGATTTGTGACATTACCAAGGATTCTGTTTTCTTGGTAATGTCAGGTCGTCATGAAGAAAAAGGTTGTGATGTATTCATTTATGTCAACTTGTCATGAAGATATATAAAACAATGTTATATTTGCATTTCAAAAAACAGAACTGAGGGAATGACATTTAATAGCAGTTGTCATAAGCATGTGTGCAAATCCTCTTATTATTCATGACATGTCATGTGATGATTATAAAGATGTCATGACAATCTTATGAACACCCCTTCAAGTAAAGTGTTACCCAGTATTGTCTAAATACTAGTTTAGATACAATTCTGTTTTAATTTAATAAGAAAAATGTGTGTGTGTGTGTGTGTGTGTGTGTGTGTGTGTGTGTGTGTGTGTGTGTGTGTGTGTGTGTGTGTGTGTGTGTGTGTGTATATAAATATATATTTTTTTCCATTTTAAAACTGCAAAGTACAGGTTTTTGAGGTTGTCATCATAAACAAGGCTAATTTAATAACCTTAATACCTAAAATTGCACATTCTATTAAGAAAATACTGTATCTGATCTGGACTCTGTATCAGTACATGCTCAGATATTTTAGATTTGGCAGGTTGTTGCATATAGGAAGTGGGTGGCTTAGGTGGCTACTCGATGTGTAGATTGTAAGTAGATCAGAGATCACAAACAAATGTGAAAAACAGCTCCGATGAGCAGCTAAATATGACCTTTGAAATGAAAAGATGCGTTGAACTCAGTGGTCCCAAACAGATGTATTTACTCTAACAAATGAACTGTATTTATTTGGGAATTGTTTCATTAATTCGATTTGAAAGTTCTGTTACTTTAGTTTTGTGTTTGTGTGTGTCTAACTTTTGCTATTTATTAAGACTATAGAATATATACGTGACAGTCAGGCGTATTGAAGTTTGAACTGTACGTGTGTGTTCTAGACTTGTCCATTGGCCAGTTACCTGACACGCCTCCTGCCATGTAGACGGCCAGCATCACCCCTAGAGTAAAGCCAAAATGGATGGTGAGAAGCTGTCCTTTTGCTTCTCTGCTGAGGACAGTCTGGGCCACTGAACCGCAACCGAAAAGCTACAAACAGGAAATGGATAGAGAGAAGATGATTTAGGGAGACAATTAGTGGAAAAAGCTACTGCCATGTAGATAAGAAAAGCACTTTTGTTGTCAAGCACTTATTCAAAACTAATTAGTTGGGCAGCTCGTTCAAAAGCTCAGACCATTATGGTCAGGGCGGCACCCCAAAGCTACAAATCTGTCAGGATGGATCAGAGTCATTCACGTAATTAACAGCAGTAGAACACACTGTCAGAAAAAGCAAGTGTATTTCTTGTACTATCAGAATGAAGGGGTTTAAATGATAAAATGTCAAAGATATTGTTCTTCCTTCTTCGCTTTGCTTCTCTTTAAAATTTTATTGCAAGGGGTTGAGAGTAAAACTATTTTTAAACAAATTTCACTTATTAGCAACATCAAAAATTACAATATGAACATTTAAAAACACATTTATAACATTTATTGTTTGAGTCACCTCATAAAAATATCTGACAATTCTGGAAAATACCTTTGTGCTGCAAATTTAAAAATGTAAACTGCTTATGCAATACAACACAAAACTTTATTGTCAGACTTGAATCTGAAAATGTTCTTGCATAACAGAAATATAAACATTCCTTACAAAGAGACAAAGACATACAAAAAAATCATTTTATACTGACCTTATTTACCTTCAAGATGTATAAATGAATTTAAAATTTCACTTCATTAAAACTTGGAACTCTAACTAGACTTTAAGGGATTTATCGTAACTATATTCATTTTACCCTGAATTTATATTTATTCTTTGATTGTGTGCATCTTTGTTCACATTTTTACCCAAGAGCTACACAAATCTTATTATAATTCATATTTTGGGGGACAAATTTACAAAAATGTAGCCTAATTGTTTTACTCTGTTCATTTTTAACATTCACTTCCAGAAGTAGTTTGTCTTTGTGAAACTGGACTTTCCGACTGAGATAAGCAATTTTAACTTAAACCATATGCCATTAATAGCCATTAGAACTGATCAATAAGAAAAACTAATAAGATGACACTTAGTTGGTTTGTAGAGGGTGTTGCATTTACACAATGCATTTATTCTAAAGCACTATGTGACCACACACTGTATGGCTATTATTACCACATCACGCATTTATAAGTGCTTCTTCAGAATAAAATAACAGACTTCATCATCACTCAAAGTCAAAACTGACACAACACAGCTCGCTAATCCTGCAATTATAATCCAAATTCTAACGCAATTGTGTATATTCAAGCTGTCATGTCAAGTTCAGTTCACTTTGTTTTAAAGTTCTGACAGGTAAAAGACTTACTATTAACACGAATGTCCCGAGTAATTCTGCCAGAAACTCTCGGATGATGTCGCGCCTCAGGACGCATCTCCCCCTCAGATTTCGGATGTTCTCGAGATACTCCATATTTTCGCCGACAGCTGAGATGTGATGAGCGGACAGACAGTTGAAGAGCTGATCTCGCTGGAGTTTGAGTGTCTTAGGTTTTAACCTTCCCCGCCCCTCCTGCTACTCAGATGTCATTAAACACACTGACACGACAGGTCGCTGGTTCCTCTTTGCTCTCTCCCCATCATCCATCCTCCTCATGCTGAGACAAACACGACCAGAGTTCGCTCTACTTGCAGTAATTGAGGAAATGTCAGTGCGTGGCATATTTGTTTATTTTGTTTGCGAACAAATGTAGGATTGAGAGGCGATTGAGTTCTGTGAGAAAATCGGTAGACTCGTTTGGAAACTTAATTGAGACCTGTAATAACACGGCAATTATTAAAAGAGCTTTTATTATACTCTAATTATACAAATTAACAAGAGCCTACTACAGTTAAGCACGAAAAGCAAATGCAAAACTGTAGCCTATATGAAATAACCAACAATGTCACATGACGCTGATTTGTATAGATCGTTTTAAAAATATAATAAACTAATGATCAATTTAAAAATAAATTTTAATGATTAAAAAAAATTCAACTTTTAAAATATTTTAATGTAGTTAAATGTTAAAAGTATTTTAGTGTAGTTAAAAAAACAATAAACTAATAGTCAATTAAATCATGTTTATGATTTTAATGATTAAAAAAACTAAATATTTTAATGTAATAAAAAGTTAAATGTAGTTTTTATGTATCAAAATAGTAAGAAAAAATACAAATAAGGCAAGGCACATTTAATACACAATGGTAATTCAAAGTGCATTACATAAACAAGCATAAAAGAGAAAACAAATAATAATAATTAAAGGAATTAAAAATGATTAAAACAGGTCAAAACAAAAAAAAAAGTGTTAAATCAGGTTATAAAAGAATGAAAAAGAAAAGAAAGACATGATAGTGTGATCTGTCGGACATAGCACAGTGCTCATTTGTAAAGGCACAGCTAAACAGATGTGTTAAATTTTACTTTGAATGTGCCTAATGTTGGAGCACATCTGATCATTTCTGGAAGTTGATTGCAGCAGCGGGGGCATAGAATAAAACTAGTAATCTATCAAAACTTTATTTTAAATAATTTTCATGACCCTTAAAAAGTTTCATATGTTAATAGGCCTATATGTATTGGGGGGTCAAGATAAAAACTTAAAAATACAATTTACTCTATCTTCTTATTGTAAATAATTTTCAATGACCTCCGCAACGCAGCACAATAGAAATGTGCATTATTTATTCAATATAACTCTTAAATGGCCTTACTTGTAAATAAATGATAACTTTTTTTCCTTCCAAATTACCAAGAACATTTTTTTAATTTATTGCACTCTATTTTTAAAATAATTAAAAAGTTGTCATGTTTTCAAGACGTGTTTAAATAATTTTATTAGAAGACAAGACATTTAAAATAAAAATGTTCAATAATTACAAATGAAAACTCTATTCTTTTTATTTACTGTTTATTTATTGTTTATCGTCATATTTATCATGTTCTGAAGGAAATGCTATAAATTACATTAAAAAAGATTAATATTCTCAAACTCATATTTATTATAATTATTATTATTAATATTATTATTATTGTTATTTTCCATGCGTTTTATACATATCTTTTGAGTAGATTTGTTTTATGGAGAAGCATTGCCACATTGCGGAGCAGCTTCTATATGTAATGCCCATGTTTGTCCACCGGGTGGCGCTATTATACCAAATAAAAACAAAGTGACCGTCAGCGGCGTCTCATGACAGATGGAGCAGAGCAGCCTGTGGGACAGAAGAAGCGATAGGATGGTAGCGGTATGTTTTGTTTGCATTAATCACTGTCACTTGTTCTGGGGTGTCGTCTTTGATGTGAGGCAGACACTGTCAGTGCTGTGAAATGAGGGGGATGTGCTGATGGAGAAAAAGCACCCCAGTGGGTTCTAACAAATTATAACACCCCGTGCCCTTCATCATCTTAACAGCCCCTCGGCCCTCAGCACGTCACGCACGATAACAGCGATCACGCAGACTCGCTATTTTTAATATTAGAGAAATGTTATAGGCTATTTAAAGTTATAAGACTAGGGTTGAATTAAATAGATTTAGAGAGAGTTACCCCAAAATCTGAATAATGTCATTTATTCACGCTTAGTTTATAAAATATTTATGGTCTAACACAAAAGTAGATAATTTGAAAAATGCTAGGCCTGTCATTGATTTTCATGTATTTGTTTTACATATGGAAATCATGGTTACATGTTTTAAACATTATTTAAAGTTATTTTGTGTTCAGCAGGAAAAAATGGCCTCATAAATGTTTGAAACCACTTGAGGGTGAATAAATTGTGAGTAAATTTTAATTTTTGCGTAAACTTTCTATCCCTGTAAGTATAGCTATAGTGCTCAGCGTAATCGAGTATAGGCCTACACCTCCGTTTAAAAATGAGTATTTGTCCATTTCTCAAGTATTTTGGTGCATTTAGACAAAACAAATTTATTAAACAGAAATATTTATTAAAATAATATTTTAGTCACCAAACATATTTAGAAACTGAAAGATAATACAATTAAATTTAAGCAAAATATTGAAAAAAAATTACAACCTACGTAATTTCAACAAATGTTTTCTATTTTTTTCTTTTGCTTCTGTTGATTGTTCCTCTTTTTAAAATTTGTATTTAATATTTTTCTATAACATCTAAATCTGGGTGTACTGAAGTTTTTGGAATGTAATCGTAAGTTATATGTTAGATAAAGCTCCAGATTTGGCTTCAGTACAGACAAATATAATATCGTATAGCTTCCTATTAAAAGTATGAATTTAAAAGAGAGATTTGTGAGGGCTGTACTTGTATATGCTAAGCACTGAGTCATTTTTTTTCTCTGGTTTTGGATTGTTGCAGGCCATACATAGCACCTAAAACGTTTTCAAGTAAACGGACACAATCAATTCAGTGTGTGAATGAACATTTTCAAAAATAATCTATTTATTTGTAGGCTACAAATTGGAGCCATATAATTTTATCAACAATATTAGGCTACCTATAAATTTAAGGTGCTAAACAATTATGTAGGCTGTATATATTCACCTCAATCCGTGATTATTCCAAATTGCCTAAAGATAGTCATGAAATGCTCCACAACATTCAAGACTACTAAACTCCTAAATGTTTCCTCCTGTGAATGTGTAAATGAGATTATTTGTTTTATTTATCTGTGACATGGTGGCTAATCGTAGATGTTTTTGCCGTGATCCAGTGTTTTGCAGAGCTTCGGTCCTTATCCACCATACAGTTACACAGTAGAAGTGTGAATGTCTGTGTTTGCAAATCCTTTAAACCACAAACTCCTCGAGAGTGTTAAAAGCCCTTTTAGATGGTCTTTAATGTTTATTGGATATTCTGAAGTAAATGCTAACGGAGTGCCCGCACTGCAGGAGGCAAGACGAGGAAATAACCTGAGATCGCTTGATGTAGATTGTGGAAAAACATTCTGACGGGCAGATATGTTACAGGAGAATCTGTGAGATTCAAAAGGGGCAAACGGACCTGGCCAAAGAAAACTTTAACGTTTACGTGACAGTTTGAGCACCCAGGTGGAGAGAAACACTGGCTGATCTTTATTCTTTTAATATTGTGGCTTATATAGCTTCTTTTTTCTCAGTGCTGGCTTATTGTGGCTGAAAGGGCACCCGCTGCATAAAAAAATGCTGGATAAGTAGGTTCATTCCGCTGTGGTGCGCACTGATAAATAAAGGGAAGCTGAAGGAAAATAAATGAATGAATAGCTTACTTTGAAAAGGAAATACAAATATTTAGTAATGTACGTTTATAATTTTAGCAGGCGAAACATTTATACATACCCTACTGTTAATAAAGCATGGAAACTGCATTTCAGCAACCTTCAAACAATAAAATGAAACAAAATAAAGTAACTAAAATAAAAATTTAAAATTTTTAAAAATAAATCTTAAAATGTGCGCCAAGATTTTATTTTTTAAAATCTCATCATTTAATAACATCATATCTTATTAAAAGTATCATATTTATTTCTGATCTACACCTTAAAACGAGCCAGGTATTTATTGTGTTTGTGACATTAAATAGGGCTGTGCTAAAGTAATGGAGTATTTTGACTTTTTGAATTGAGCATTTACCACATGAAACACATTTTCTGGTTATCTGACAAAACATTTTTACAGTGCAGTTTACTACTGCCTGTCAGCTGAATTTCTTCCTGATAAATCCTGAATCTCCTTCATAGTGTTGTCTTGAGAGTGGGTGGTATCTCTCTCTCTCACTCACTCACTATGGTCAGAGAGGGAGAGAGAGTAGTTTATGTAAATGCTCCATTTTAATTATATTAGGAGGACGGCCCTATTCCCTGCCCAATAAAAATGGACCAGGGCTGACACCTGGTTATAAACACAGGAAGGATTCCAAAGTTGTAATCGCACATCGGCAGGGGAAAAAAACCCAACCGGCATCTTCAATAGACGCGATGACCTCCAGTGAAGTTGAACTGCCAGGAGAGGTGAAGAACGACCCGGCTGCGCTCATGGCATCTCTCCATCTGATGCCCTCACCGGTACCCAATCCTGAGATCAAGTACACCAAGGTTTGTCGGACTTTTTCAAGAATGATACGGGAAATGCAAACTTTGGTTAGATAGCACGTTTAATCAGTTTTAACGCGCAAACTATGTGAGGGGAAAGTACATGAGAGACTCAAACATTATTTACTTAAAACAAGTTTTTAATTTTAAAAAACTGTCAAAGTACTGTACCTTATGACTTCATCAGCAGACTTGTTCTTGGATATGCTTTTGGTCTACAAGTTGCGAGTTTTGGCGATGGTCTTGTCTTTATAAGTACGCAAATTGCGCGCCTTTGGCAATACCAACTTTTATTACGCATTTCATTCTAATGTTAAACAAACTTCATTTGTGTCAATTTAAAGAGAGAGATAATCTAGATATGCTACCTGTTACCTATAATGGAGTCACACAGATCATTGAAGTTTATATCGAACTTAAAAATGACATTTTTTAACCGGTAAATAAGTTTTGTCTCAAACTTTTTCTAATTCAACGGAGCTTTATGTGATTCAGCCGAGTTAATTCTTAAATTTATTATGTTTTGGACAAGATTAATATTTGTGATCAAAACACAAACTTTATCTAACCTCACAGACATTTTATTTGCAAATCGAATCAAATGCGTAAATTGGCTACGACTCAAAAGAATGAAGTTGTGATAACATTGAAAACATGCAATGCGCATAATAAACAATCTAAAACGAAGGAATGTAAGACAGTCAACTTACTTTAGACACTACTTTTCAACGTATGTAATAATGCTGTAACATTTTTAGCAGTTTATGCACTAATGTAGCCAATCTGTGAATATGAATGTGCTGAATCATTCCATCAAATGATTATAGAATATAACTTTGTTGTGTTGTTAGTTAGGTCACCTTAAATTATGCCGCGGGTTTGACAGTAATATTTTTATTGCCGTGAGGTGAGAGGATAAAGTCAAAGTGCAGTGCAGGCCAATTATCACTGAGAGTAAAGTTCAGCCAGAGCTGAGACACCTGTGACACACACACACACACACACACACACTCACTGCATCTGCTCCTTGTCCCGCTCTCATCTCAAACTTTCCCTTAGAAGCAGATGGGAGTGTGAGAAGGATTCATGCTTAGGAATTTGAATTATCCAGTGTGTGCTGCTTGTATGGGTGTGTGTTGGGTTTCAGTTTGGGCACTGGTGATGTAAACTCCCTTCATACCGTCTTCCATCCCTCTCTTTCACTCATTCTCTCTGCGTCTTTCTCCACCCCCATCTTAATTTTGATTTTGTGTGCCTGGTGCAGTGCAGCACAGACTCTGATGTAACAGTCCAAATATGCCCAATCAATATGCTTTCAAATGTAGCCTGTGCAGAGCCAAGTTTTTTATTATTTGTGTAAGTCTTAGGTTAAACCCTTTTAGCAAAACTCCTTGGAGACTTCTTAAATTGTGTTTTCTGTGCTTTTAATGAGCAGTGCTTTATGCCAGAGACATTGAGTTATGGAAATATCATTAATGGGCATACTTAACTTCTCATTCCTATCGTTGTCAACCACTTATGCAAATACTGAATCACATCCAGTTCTGGCATTTAAAGTAAAAGGATATCAAGCAGGGAAAGGTAGATGGTAGCAATTATGCAGGCTATGTAATAATAATAATACGCATTTTTATTGTTATAGGTTTTTGTGGATGTGTTATCTGGTTTTCAGTCATAGTGGTAGAATTTTATTAATTTTATAATAATAATAATAAAAACACATTGTTCATAATTATTTATATTTATGACCTCATTAATATTTAAAGTGCTGCATTTGATAAAACTTCTTATTTTGGTCATGGAGAGTGTTTTAACGCGTGAAAAAAAGCCTAATTACAAGTTTTGTGCACTAAAATTGCAGCAACTTTGTCCACCACCAGTTCTTAATTTTTTTGCATCTTTGTATTATAGAGGATTGTTGGGCTGCACAATATATTGTTTCAGCATCGTTATTGCAATGTGATCATTCACAATAGTCACATCGCAGTATACGTAATGTGGAGTCTGGATCATAATTTATCATTTGCAAGTGATTTTGAGGCCTGTTACCCTATGAGGATTTGTTCAGGCATAAGACATTTTACCATTAATAACATTAAAGGTGATTAATTTTATTTAATTAATTATTATTACCATATTTGATTACTACTATCATTGTTAAATTACTATTATTTTTATTCTTAAATTAATGTAGCTGAATACTGTTCCACTTTGAAAATTAATAAACACTGTTTACTTCAATTGTCATTTTATCTTTATTGTATTTATCTGTTTTTAATTTGTTTAATAGATTTGATGCAGATGTACACGCCTACAGAATCATCCCAATCAATCTAAAATCATAAATTCCTTCAAAAACAGAGATGTCTGTTATTCACATCACAATATGTCACAGAGTAAGAAAATATTGTAATGTTAGATTTTTCCAGTATCGTGCAGCCCTAATGGATTGTGTTTTGCATTATGCAAAATGTGAATAATTATATTCTTATATTGCAAAGTTGCTACAATTTGGACTTTGTGCTCCACTAGTTCTTAATTTTTTTGTAGTGGATGGAGTTTTTCCTCATGTTAAATGTGAATAGCTGTAAATACTGCACAGTAAAATTGCTATGACTTTTGCTCCATCAATTGTTCATTTGTTTTATAGTGGATTGTAGGGCTGCACAATATAGCGTTTCAGCATCGATATCACAATGTGATCATTCGCAATAGTAGCATCACAGTATACGCAATGTTGAGTCTGGATTATAATTGATCATTTGCGTGTGTTTTTTGAGGCCTGTTACCCTATGAGGATTTTCAAAGTGTTCAGGTATAAGACATTGTACCATTAATAACGTTTATGGCGATTAATTTGATTGACTTATTTATTGTTACTATATTTATTTACTATTATCATTAAAATACTATTATTTTTATCCTTTAATTAATGTAGCTGAATACTGTTAGACTATGAAAATTAATAAACACTGTTTATCTTGATTGTCATTTTGTCTTTATTGTATTTATTTATGTTTTATTTTTTAACATCACAATTATTCTAAAATCATAAACTCTTTCAAAAACAGAGATGTATATTAGTCACATCGCAATATGTATCACAGAGTAAGAAAATATTCTGATGTTAGATTTTATCAGTATTGTGCAGCCCAAGAGTATTGTGTTTTTCATAGTGCAAAATGTGAATAATTATATTATTATATTGCAAAGTTGCTACAATTTGGACTTTGTGCTCCACCCAGTCTTAATTTTTTGTAGTGGATGGAGTTTTTCCTCATGTTAAATGTGAATAGTTGGAAATACTGCACAGTAAAATTGCTATAAAGCATGGACTTCGTGCTCCAGCAATCCTTTATTTGTTTTATAGTGAATTGTGTTTTTCCTTATGCAAAAATGTGAATTATTAGAATATTATACTGCAAAGTTGCAACAACATGGACTTTGTGCACCCAGTAAACTTTTCACCCCAGGTTTGAACTCATCATGTGACCATCACTACACCTGTACCACTGTGTATTTGCTATGGACTTGAGATTAAGTGCACTGATATAGGCAACTTATCTTCCCTCTGCCCTGCCATTGCACGTTTACAATTGAGCTTCCGCTTATCACTTACACCAATATTTCTCAAAGTCCTGTTGTTTGCTGCAGACACCTGAGCTCAATATTCACTTTACTGTCTTCTAGAATCTCCTGTTGACTCCACATAGCGTATAAGAGAGTGTTTGACTGGTCACGGGAGAGCTAGTCTGTTGAAGGAGTTTTCTCTTCTCTCTTTCTCTGTCTGCTGGCCCACTGGGCTGATAATGGCACTAAGGAAGCCATAAATTTGTCTCCGGTGATCGCTGGTTATTGATGTTTTCTCTTCTTTTTTTCTTGGAAAAGAGAAAAGGAAAGGTTGTGTTGATAGGTGTGTATATCAGTGTAATTGATTGGGACCCAAGAGTGTTTTTGAAAGAGAGGTGTTGGATTCCAGCAGGCAGGGGTGATGATGTACTCACACCATTCAGTTATAGCACATAAGTGAAGCCGACTCTTGAGATTACAACCTGGAAGAAGAAAGGAAACAGGAGACAGACGATTACTCTCTCACTTTCCCCAGTGCGGTGCAATTGAAAATTGCGTATTTGGATTAAATGTTGTTCAGTCAGGGGAATTTATTGATGGTATTGAATAAAAAAGTGAAGTTCAGAGAATCTTTGCTATTCTGGGATTTTTACTGATTGTTGTTTAACGTATGAAGGTGTATTTCACTCATAATTCACAGTTTTGTCAATTATTCACCCTGGCACTCAAGATTTTCAATCTGTTGGGTTGTTTTATTCAGATTTATTTAAAATATGGACCAACCCAATAGTTGGGTAAAATTTTAAACTATTGGCTTGATAAATATTTTGTACAAATTTGGGTTAAAGCAATCCATGATTTATATTTTTGGTGGAAATAAATATGATGACATTTTGAAGACTTCTATAATAATGAACTTAATCTGTGAATATAGTCCACAACATTGGATGTCATGGTGGCGCAGTGGGTAGCACGATTGCCTCACAGCAAGAAGGTTGCTGCTTCGAGCCCCAGCTGGGTCAGTTGGCATTTCTGTGTGGAGTTTGCATGTTCTCCCTGTGTTTTTATTGTTATTTATTTGACATGGACATCACAATTACACCAGACAACCAAATGCATTTGTTTAAGTGTTTTAGCAAACTTGCCTGTCCACAGGAGGCTTGACAAAATTGACAAAATGGCAATATAGTAAATACATATACACAACATTATAATTCTTTACATAAAACGACTGAAGGCAAATGCAATGTGGGTTCATGTGGGTTTCTTGCTGGTGCTCCGGTTTCCGCCACAAAATCATCTACGTGTCTCTTTTCTTTTTTGGAAAGTTAAATAAATGTTTAAAAATTATTAAGCGTTCTATTGATGTATAGTTTGTTAGAATAGGGAAATATTTGGTTTAGATTCAACTATTGAAATCTGGAATCTGAAAG